TGATGGCTTTACACAACCCCCAGGAAAAAACCACTGGTGATCTCTCTGGAGCTTTTATATCCTACACTTCATGTGTGAGACAAGGTCAGAAAAAGTCTCTATTGAAAACATAAACTAATAAGCTAAATAAAATATGCGGGAGTGAGAAAAACAGAAGAATTAACTGAACTCTTATTCATTTGTTAAAAAATACAACACAATTTTCGGGAGAGCACGTGTGTTCTAATGATGTATATATAACTCTGTTTTACAATCACACAAGCACACAGAGAGCTTACTTAGTTAAATTGCACCTATGACTTATCAATAAAACATTAAATATCTAACCCTATACCCATTTAGGGCTATTCTTGCCATTTTGTAAGGAGGACACATCTCTAAATCTATAATCTTATCAATGAGTTTAGAGTGTCTAATGTTTTTGCGTACAATATGTCCATTGGGTCTTCATGAACATCGAGAAGTAATCCTCTCATTCCACACAGTCTATCAATGTCTACAATCATTTCCCACACACAACATTTGTCTGCTAATCGTTCTCTTAACAACGAGCTTCAAACAGCTTTTCGGTCGCGCGCGTCAATTCTTGTTTTCACTAATCCACCGGTCCCCTTTTCTTCACAAACCGGGGCTGACTCGTTCAATCATAACTCGTTAATATTTGACATTTAAAGGATGCATGCCAATAAATATAAACAGTTGGACGGCTTTAAGTTGGCTCATACGACTTGCCTCATATAAAGAATTATGAAAGGAGTATTATGTCTATATCTTTATTTTCTGGTAAGCAGGTTGTAAATAATTCAATACACTCATTAGCATTTCTCCACATGAAGTGTCTGCACTGAGCACAAAATGTTCCCTGTTTCCACAAAACGCTGGTTTGTTACGTTTATTTTTGCAGCTAATATTCAATTGGGTTTTTTACACTGTTTATAAATAATTTTAAAATTCGTCTGTATCAATGAACACATGTCTATACATATCTCTTGAGCTTATGGTAATCTTAATTTACTACTTGTTATCATTGAATATCGTTTTCTTATAAGAATAGACCCTCGAAAGGGTTTTGGAAGGTATGATCGATCACCTCGGATGAACAGGGAGTTGATGCTTTCATTTGTCCAGCAGCAGCAGAAAGCATTTTTCGATGTATTTGAAATGAATCAAAAGTGGGGTCGACACACCAGTCGAATTTCTCATTAATGCTAGGCACCAACATTGACACAGGGAGTAGCAGAATAGATTTTTCACCACACTTTTTGCCCGGTTCTTTATAGATGAAATTCAGGGAGTTATTGACTATTGAGACTCACTAATACAGTGTCTGGTTTACATTTTTGTGATGCCGAGCTGATGACCGTCACGTCAAGACGAGTTAACTTTTTTTTCTTTTTCAACTTTGTGTGGAAAAAATGCGGTGAATTTGCGGCCTTATTGATAAAATATGCGGCTTTTTTTAAAAATCTGGCATTTTGCCTGATTATAGCGGTAAATTCTGCGATCGCAGAATCGCGTTTTTCTGGAGGGGTCTACATGCACTGCACACAATATACACAACTTCATATCATATACTAATTGGTTTAAACCACCCAACACACAACTGAGCTGAGCAATAAATCTAAAGCCATTTAATTTTTAATGGGCTATGCTTCTGTACATAGAGGATTCTGCAAAGAAAGATTTGGTGGAGTATACAGAAATACAGTAAATGAGAAATACAAATTAGTTGTTGAAAAAAATCACATTTTATTCAAAAATAACATTGTGCAACATGGCATCTCCAGCACATGGTTTTACTATGCTTCGGATCTCTCTAAAGTGTGATGGCATTGTTTTTGCCAAAAACCCAGTTTTGTAGGCTCTGCTTCCTGTGCCCTCATCACTGGCCTTTCCACCTGCAACCTCCTTTGTTTGCTCAGTCCTTCAGATAAACAACAAAAGTTATAGTGGTTGGTCAATGTCTGTGTTGCATAAAGTAAGTCAGTTAAATTGTGGGCAGGAATTGGTTGTACAGTTATAGTCTGCAACATGCCAACAATTCAATTACCGTAATGAAGTAAATACGTTTCACACAACAGACATAAGCACTGATATGTCATGAATTATGCAGAGCTAAAAACTGGTAACTAACCTGTTTTCAAGTCTAAGTGTCCGGATTACAGAGGCAACAGGAAATCGGTTTAGATTAGGCTGAGCCCTCTGAACGTCCTCTCCCTCCAGCTCTACCTGTACCTCTAATTCTTCCTCCTCTCAATCTCACCCCACCTCTTCCTCCTTCTCTCACTCTCAGCCCAGCTCTTCCTCTTCCTCTTGCTCTTGCTTCCATGTTGGCTTCCATTGTTGCTGTAAGAAAGTACTCACCTGTGGTCTTTTTATAGTGCTAACATCCTGATTGATGAG